ATTAAAATACCATTCTGCTGAAAAGTTTTAAGGCTTCAGTCTGTCCAGGTAGAACCTTATCACTAGCAATTGATACTGGAGCAAACAAGAAGACTGCACAGAAAAGAAAAGAGTATCAGGAATTACTAATGGAGTCCAATCAGTCCAATTCCTAAAGGAGTCTTAGGAATTACTCCTTGGTCCAGTCCTGGCTGTGGATTGGGAAGGATTTGGATTGGGCAAGTTATATTAACTATTAGAAATTCTCACCTGTGTGTTATATAGTCTACAAAAGACAAATCACGCATAGTTCCCATATTCCAGACTTCTGTTTTCCTATTCCTCTTTCTGTTTTCCACACCTTGTTCTTCTCCATACCATCTATTGTTAGGTTTTGAGTCTCCTATGTTTAGGTAAACTAAGATTGATCACTACACATTGTAACCTTCACTCAAAATGACCATCTTTTAGATTCAAAATTGTATTGTAAGGAGCCAAGAGAGCTTGAATAAGCCAATCAAAACCCATTCTCTGTCCTACAAATGTGACTCAAGGTAAGCTTAATAATAAAAACATTGCACTGTTTTTCTACTCAATATTACAAAGCAATGAAGAAAATAGTTGTCTAATATTATATTTTGAGAAAAAAGTCTGTTCACTACTACAGTTGCATTGACACAAGGAATACAAGTAATAAGATAGATATAAATTTGTACTCTAGTATTACTGAATTCAATCTCGTTCTGTAAAACACCTTTCACAAATGTAGGTCCTGAATTTTGTTTTATCTTGTCATTGCTTAATTTACCAAATTCTAAACCAGTCTTTTGGGAGATTTGCAGACTGACTGACTTCTAAAGCAATCTGACAAAAATAACTTCAAATTTCAAGGGGGGTGAAGAATCACTCTCTGAAGAGTTGAACAAGTCAGCAGGCCTAAGGAAATTTATCAAAAAACCGCAATGCAGATCACTTCACAAATAACTGAGCAAATCTTATATTTTTTGCACTGAAAGACAATTGGGAGAGAGGACAAACCACCACTTATTTGTAAAGGCTTCACTAGTTTATCACAGTAATTTCTCTGGAATTCACCTAAAGTTATTTAAAGAAAGCAGCACCTTTAAATCTGTCTTAATTACCAGCATATGTGAAATGCAAAGGGATTGCTTAATAAAATCTATTATTCCAAATGCAGACACTCAGTGAGTTTCCTCAGTGGGCATAGCCTTTCTAGGCAGACTGTGTATTGATACTCACTATGACTATATGAAGGTGAATGGAATTCTAAGGTTTTGTGCCTACTTAATATGCAATCATTTTAGAAGTTGATTACATTTAATTACAGAGTCACTATATTCACACAGTATTCTAAGCCTTTGTCACTCATCCTCACCCATCTGACTTTCTATACAAAGGAAGTACTGGGAGAATAAGTAAGAGAAGTGAATGCTTCAAAAGTTACTGACTTTATTCCATTGCCACAAGAATTGTGGGACATCTTTGATGATGAAGGGCCATGGAAAAGATTTGAGTTGTCAGTTTGGCCATGAATACAAATGAGGTACCTGCAATTTCTTTTTCATAGAACTACCCTATAAAATATATTTTATTGCCTCTATTTTACAGGCATGAGAACTAAAGCTCTCCAAGACAATATATAATTTGCACAAAGTTAATATGTAGAAGATCCAAGTGCAAACCCCAGGTCTTCCTGATTTTAAAGTTTTTATTCTCTTCCCACTCTGGCATGATATTTCACAACAGGAGCCTCAAGTGTCAGGAATCAAGAGAAGCTGGAATGTAGCTCAGGGATAGGCTCCTGATTGGCATGCAAGATGTTCTAGTTTCACACACACACACACACACACACACACACACACACACACACACACAAAAGGTCAAGGGAAAATGTCTAAGTAATATAGGTATGACAATAATCCTGATAATTATCCTGATATTGTCATTTGTCATTACAGGTTGAATGCACGTATGGGCCCATAAATATGTATGATTACTATCTCTCAAAAATATTTTTTTTAAATCAAGAGAAAAAAACAAACTGATAACTTAATCAAGATAAGACCGATTCCTAGAATAGTTGGTTATACTATATAAAAATAATTAAAACTACAAGGTAATCATAAGGGTGATACAAACTGTTCACAGAAGAGAAGAATCAATTTTTGCTTACAGTGTTGAAGAAGGCTTTCCAAAGAGATAACAATTTATAGTGGGTATTGAAGGATGAGTAGGAATGCAAACATGTATAATAACAAAAGGGATAAAACAAAACTAGGCATTTGACATGTTTAGGCAATGACTTAGTCCAATCGGGTCCAGTGGTAGTTTCTTCCTTAACTTCCCCTTTTCTTATCAGTTTATCTCAATTCTTTAGCCTTTCCTAATCACTCTAATTTTAACATTAATATTAGACATAATAAAAGGAGGTAATTTTGAAATGCAGCTAATTCAAGGATGAAATTGCCATAAGTGCTAAAGTGCCAAAGAACTAAAATGAAGATGAAGACAAGTCTCTTTCTTTGCTCCCTCCCTTAAGAGTTCCAGTATTTTCACCACCAAAAAAAAAAAAAATTATTTCAAGACACAGATTTTTTTGAGGAAAAGAAGGAAAAAATTGCACAAGTAGAATACAAATATAAAGCATTCAAGATTGAGACATTTACCATACGCTCTTCTTGACTTTCAAATCCTAAGCAACACTATTTTACACATTAAGATATCTCAATTTGAAGTCCTGATTTTTTTTCTTTTGAACATTTGCCAGGATTAGGGAATCCCAAGGAAATTTTCATTGAAAAAAATTTTTAAATAATGTGGAAGCACAAAGTAGTTAAACATTTCTGATGGACTTTTGCAGTATTTCTCTAACCTTATGAATTTCTTTATAGTTAAATCTAAATTACCAACATAAAATGTCCAAAACAATCTGAAAAAGATATCTCATCCACCACTGTTTTTGTTCCCAAGAGAGAAAGTCAACCATCAAAAAGCAAGTACCTTATATTGAATAGTTCCTCAAGCCTGGCTTCCACAATTTTTTGCTCACAATAGAACTTTAATCATTTGTTATATAATCTATTTATAATGTCTTATTCTGCATATGTTTGTAAAATGGATGCCGCTTAGTTGTCTGTGAATATATTCCTTGCCTCTTAGAAGTTTCTTAAAACTGATTTTTATGATTAAGAGGTGTCTCTGCTGCTAGCCCCAAGTCATTCAACTTTCCTTTTGAAATGAACATTTATTTCAGATAATACATGCTCTCTACGGGTAGCCTGTCCACTTTTCAAATGTAATGATCCTGTCTTCTGTAGATATGAAATTTTCAAAAGATATTGGCATAATGCAGGAGAAAATGCCATCCTTTTATTATGTTCAAAATTGATCTGACCCCTGAGCTAGCACTTTGGGGAATTGGGCTACATAATCATGTAGACACTTTCAGGAAATGGCTTATTTATGGATTTATTTTTTATATACAGAAGATTTCACACTTCTGGCTTTATACAATTGCATCTTCTCTTCCTTTCCAATATGTTTCCAAAGTAGGAACGCTATATATGGCAGGAGGGCTGAATTTCTGCATCAGCCAGAAATATGTCATTTGCTATATATTGGCTCTAATGATAAGGCATTAAGAGTATATTTATTCTGTATTTGCATCCAGTTCTCTCCAGCAGATTTTTTTGCAGTTCTCATTTACTTGCTGAATAAAATAATGCTAAAGATGATTTCATACCCTAGTCATCATCCAATGTTAAAAACAATCCGATGTTTAAATTTATTATTCAAAAATGTTTATATTTCTTCCTCTTAGATAGTAAGTTTGCATAGATTTCTGCCCCAATATTAGTTTCCATTTAGTAGGTCACTCATCTTTATTTTAGTATTATTTCAATAAATAAATCATACCCGATACATACTAAGAACATGGTAGGAAAAACCTCCTGTTTTGGCTGAGCTTTTTATTATTCAAATCATTCCCTATTTTTAAAAAGTTGAAATGTGGTTAGCCTGTGTTTTCATATAAAGCAATAAAAAAAAGTCCAACTAAACCTGCTGATCTTCTTTGTTCCAGTCCTTTTGAAATGGCTATGTTTTAAATAAAACCTATTTCCTTAGGCTAACTAACAGTCTATAATCCATTAAGCCTTTATGAACAAATCTAAGGCTTCTGAAATTAGTGCTTAGGGAAGAGAGAGTCAAGTAATGGATTTCAAAGCAATATTAAGGTGATTAAAGAAGACCAAGGATCAAACTCCCATCACCATGATTCCTAGAATGAAGCCTACCAAATGTGCATTTGGGAAGTTCATAAATCATCTCACTCTGAATATGAAATAGAAGAGAGTAGGGAAGAAGGCAAGAATGAAGACTGATTTAGAAAGTGAGCTGGAGAAATATTACACAACGGAAACATAAATAGTTTTCTGTGAAAAAATGGCTTTAATGGATGTTTTTAAATTAAAGATAAATCAGAACAAGCTAATGATATTAACAAAACCAACAACAAATTCTTGGTTTTCAAATTTTTAAAATGTCACTTTGGATTTTAAAGCTGGATTAAATAAATTGGTTAGGACCATTCTGATGCTTGTGTTGCCAGAATATCTTAGATTTGAGCAAAGGTTTGAATTATATTTGTTTTCTTGTGACTGAAGAATGCAGAAGTATTTTTCTCCCATGAATTCAAGTGCACTGTGGAAAGGTCAATACTACAGTCCACCAATTCTAGGTAGGAAAGACATCACTGGCCATGCTGACTCCATGTGGGTTGATCTAGGGCAGAAAATGAGAATTGTCCTTCTAAAAAACATTCTTCTCTGCTTCTCTGGTTCAGGGAGCTGGGCATATGGCCATCTAATTCAAAGTGGGTATTTTCCATACAGCCAAATACAGCCATGTGACAAAGTCTGACCAGTAGCATGTGAACAGCAAAGATGAGGTCAACATCTAAGTCATGCCCTTAAAGGGGAATCTGACTTTGTTCCCTCCTATGGGAGTAACCATCTTGGACCCAGCAGATCAGGACTTCTGAAAATTCTGAAGAAAAGAGCCACCTGAACTACCCAGATCTTCTTGCTCAGACTCTTTCACGAGAGATAAGAGGTAAACTATTTTGTTTAAATCATTTTAAATTTCAATCTCTTTCATCTGCAACAGAACCTATACAATAATAGCAAACATACTTTAGCACTTATCACGAATCAGCTAGCATTTTATATCGTTTTGACATATTAACTCATTAAATAATGCAGTCATTTAAAATATAGTTTATTATTATTTACATTTATAAATTTAGAATTCAGGTACAAAGAGTTCAAGTGTTTGATCTAGGGTCTGAATCCAGGCAATCTGGCATCATAGTCCATGACCAACAGTCTTGGTCAGACTGCTTAGCATAATATATTTTAAAAATACAAAATAAGCACGTCTTTTAAAAATTAACAGGCAGTTCCTTTGTTTAAAAATGTTTACTTATTTAGAAGTGTAAACATGGATTGGGTTTACTGATAAAATTGCTGATTTCCCTCCCTACAAGAGACTGAAATTTCAAAAGTTGTCACCATTTATGGTAAGCAGAATTCTGTAGGATACTCTTTATCTTGTAGCCTTTTATATAGCCAGTCCCTAGCACTTCTGGAAATACCCTGGCATGTCACCTATTGCTGAGTAAAGACTTACTCCCAAATAGAGGAGTACCAGAGAATTGGAAAGGGCACAGATATACAATAGGAATATCAAGGTGAAGGATGTACATTGCCAATTTGTTTTGTATTCTGTTAGCCTTGTGCCTACTAAGTGTCAGGGATCAAGTATTTGATGATGGGGAAAGAGTTATAAATATGAATAAGATGTTCTTCTCCCAAGGAATTCAAAGTCCAGCCTCCTTCAAGTACAAGATGTTTACAAAGATCTTTTGTGTGTTTCCCTTAATACAATAGGTCTCTTGGGTATGATGAATCCCAGCAAACCATGTTTTCAGTGGAATGGAGAAAAGGGAATTTTTCTTTGCTGTCTAAAATGATTTTTGGCATTTCTGAAACAAAGATCAGGGTCCATATCTTTAGTTTTTCTTTCTTCTATCCTCAACTATCAAGAAAGAATCCATAAAGATTATTTTTAAAGATTCATATTTTCAATTTTTGAATAATGAATAGCCACTTTGCTTTAGATAACTTTAGAGTTTCAGAAATGAACACAGAGCAATAGGGCTTTTCTGTTCTTAAATGATGAATAATTTAATCAATTAATACATAATGAAAGAAAATGATTAATTGTGGATTCAAGACATAATTTTTGTCAGTCATCTTTATTGACAGTTATAGATTACAAAAGTCAAGGCTGTCTTGATTGACAATTAATTATTAAGACCAATTCTAGTAAGGTGACTTCTACCCTCCATTTTCCCATTTGGAAAGTGATTTGTAAACCCAAAAGTTGTATGAATACCAATGTTAAGCTCTTGCATAAATGTATGTTTTAGTAAACATTTCTCAAATTAAAATAGTTTGTTTATGCACACATAAGCACCAAATACATGGTTGAAAATGTCTTTCATTTTGCCTATTCAAGAAGACTCTTCTTCACTGAACCTTGTAGTCCTTAAGATGTTTACAAGTATCCCTATATTGTATTTTTAATTGAATTTTAAAGGGAGGAGGAAAAAATAACAGTTCAAATGTGTGTTGCCAATCTGAGAAATAAATTTGCATTTACTTATTTGCTACAGTCTATCAGACCACCCATCCATTCATTTACCCATCCAACCACACACACATGCATCATACATATTTTATTATTTAAGAATCAGAAAAGAATTAGACTCTAAAAAAGAAATCTCTGGACTTAGTTTGTCTAGAACATAATCTATGGGTCAAAAAAATCTGGAAGTTCATTGCTATAGATTTGACCTTTGGATCTCACTGGAATAAGAAGCTATATTTTTCCTTATATGCTTATATTATCCCCAAGCATGTCCAATTTGTTCCCAGTCATCTACTTTATTCATCAGTAGTTGTTAACTCCACACTTATGTTTTCACATGCCCATGCAAGAAAGAATAGATACTTACAGTGCACAATTTTTGGAAGAATGCTACTTAGAATGATGAGTTTGTGGCAAAACCATCACTGTTCATTTTGTCAACACCAAGACAGTTTGGCTGAGATTGAACTGACAAATTAATTGAAACTCATAAAAGTTTTATTAATCACAATTCATAGTGGCCACATTTCTCTTCTTCAGTTTTCTATTGTTTCCAGCCCACTTAAGTCATTATCATGCATTAATCATGATGTGTCTATCATACCTACATACTGGTTCTCCTATGCCATAGCACTTTAAAATCAAGCCCTAAAGAGTCTTTGTTTTATAATCATTCTCTGTAAGCCTTTCATGTGTATCTGAGTATAAGTAATGGATGTTTTTGATAACTAGACTCTGCCACAAAAATTTATATTAAGCCAGTTTTTTGGAGGATATTCTGAGTTTTGCTGTTAAAACTCACAAAGCCAGAGGTTACCAACCTCTGGATTTTTTTTATATAATTAAGGTAAAAACATTTCCACTTCCCTTTATCTACTTAGTATCCTATGATGCATTCTATTTCAGTATATCCAGCAAAACCATTAATTGAACATTTTCAAACTTCTGTCTGTATTTTCAAAATGTGATACTCCCAAGCATGTCTCAGCCATCTTCTATTGCAAACACATTCATTAAGAAATATAATCTAAGAAGACTTTTTCTATATAGCTTCAGATTGAATTGCATTTTACTCATCATAACAGTAATGTAAACATACATAACTTATACCAATTAGCGGGAAGTCCTGACATACAAAATTACAACCATAGATATATTAAGATGCAGCAGAAAAGATATGGCATATTGAGGCTAGTTACATTCACTATGATTATGGAAATTGAAAAATGTGTTTTAGATAGAATACTTCTTCTGACCTGGCACACTGAAATAAATTGTCAACCAAACCCCAGGGAGACAAACCCGAAAGTATGGAGAACTCTGCATATTAAGTAAATTTTCAATAGAATTCAAAAGAGATCAAGAAAAAAGTGGTCTATTAAATAAAAAAGGCTAACAGGGATGAAATTTTTCTAGGTTCTCTGGAGATGTAAACTACCTTTGATTAAGGAAAAGTGAAAAATATTCTAAAATGCAAGGACAACAGGCAGTAGAAGCAATGTACTCTAGATATTAATAGTCCTTCTTCTATATGCAGTGAATTAAAAGTCCCTAGGATCCAACTAACACCATTATCAGCATTGGTATCCAGGGACTTCTTCACCCTTTGCACCTGGGTAAGATATAAACAAAAATGTCTCTCTTTTCTACTTGAATCCCAGAGGAAAGTAATTTTACAGAGCTATAGAAGCCGATCTTATTAATTAAAGTCTATTTTCTGTAATTCTTTAAATTTCCCTCCCTTTGTTATCAGCATGATGCAATAATAAAGAATGGTTCTAAGTCTGTTTCTTGAAATGGGAAAAAACTCTTAGGGTGTTTGGTGCATGTTAAATACATATTCATACCTCATTAACACAGAGCTACTCAATCGGTCTAATTGCATTTAGAGTTTAGTTTGTCAAAAATTAAATTGTATCCATATTCCCACTATACAAAATATGTAACTGTTTTGAATATAATTTTAGAGATTCAAAAAGTTGATTCTTTTTAAGATACTGAAATAATCCTTAGAACTAACAACTTTTCCTTGAATATATCCTTATAAGGTTTAATGAAGAAGGTAGATTACAGTAGGAATGGTTGGCAAATCTCTTAAAACTCAATGTACAAATACATATTAAATACCCAGAACCTTAAATCAAATAGTTATTGAATTTTGCAACCTTAGTTTTAATCTGTACATGTAATTCCAGTGATAATCCAATAGTTAAATTTAAATTAAACAACATAGTAAATATTACAGACAAAGGAAATTTCACTTTTTAAATTTAGGAGTAAAAGTCATAATTTCATATCAATAGATTCAAAATTATTTAAAAGTTAAATGGTTACTATTAAACAACCAATGCCCCAAATCTCTTTGTTACTAAATTAGTTCATATCAAATAATAAATTGGTTGTTAATACATATAATTGCAATTTTTTTAAAAAGTCTATTTTGGCTTGATTTTCTCAATATTATTATTGAAGCCCATGCTTTGCAAATTCTAAATTTGCTTTGTGGTAGAAAATACAGGACCAAGAGAGTCCTCTGAATTGGAATCCCCAGTGTTTCTGCCTTTGAGGGTTTTAATGAAGGAAGAAAACTGTCTATCCATTTTCCCATCTTTGGATGCAAGAATGGAATGTAACTTTTTCAAAGGAAAAAGTCAGAAAGTTCATGGTCAAATTGGTCTGTCTTTGATTTGTGTTGGATGGATTGGCCCACTTATTGCCTTGTGGTTGTGTTATTTAACATAAGACTGGAGACAAGCAAGGGCTACCTAAGCCTTATTGAGAAATCATTCAAGAATGATTGGTAGTTTAAAAAATCAAACCTCATACCAAATAAGAAGAAGCTTCCAGACTTCTATCTTATGAGATAATTAAACATTGAATTACTAGTTTAATCTGTTGGGACTCTAAGAAACTGAAAATAGGACATCCTTTAATTTTTTTTTTCTTGGTGCAAAGGAATAGCCAAATATCAGTGAATTCACTAAGTAGTCTATGAGCTGTTCTTTTAAGTCACTACGATGTTGAACTCTTACTAATAACGTAGATGACATCTGACTTATTAAAGCAATATTCACACTGATTAATTCAGAATGGCAGCATTCCTGACCCCTAAGAAAACAGCAAACCCTTTCAAATCCAGCCCAAAGTTGGTGCTCAGGTATGCACACTGAGCCTTTTGTCTTTAGATCTGGCAAAGACCCAACTCAAAAATAATTTTGTAATTCAGAGGAGAAGTTCTCTTATGGATGAAAGATTATGAATTTCACAGCTGACTTGAGATCTACCTAAGCCAACATCAGTTTTGACTTCGCAAGTAGGATTTGTTCTGTCAATGCAGGTTTCTCAGTAAGTACTTCTCCCTTTCAAAAGCCAGGTCAGATTTCAAAGAAATATTTACATTT